AGGCTAACCATTGCTCAGTGGTTTACTACACATGAATCGATCTCGTGAACTTTATAATCAGTTGACTCAGTAGCTTTGAATGGTCACTCTGTAACTGTAATGTTTCAAACATCAATTATTACGATAATTATGAGATGTACGTAAGTTAATAACAAATAAAGACTAAGCTGAATGATCCGAATGTTAATATTTATTTCTAAATTCATCAAGATACGTGTCATATTCAAGAGTATACATTAATATGCAAAACGTTTTCAATAAAACTTTCATTGCTATGTAGTATTCAATCTGGAATATAACGCAAATCTTATCTAATGAATCAAATAACAACTACGTAGAGATTTTGTGTATAGAACCTTCAAATTTTATAAATTTTGTAGAATATCATGTAGGCAAATTTTCATTCAAAGAAAAAATTATGAGAAATCATTTTCAAACCTCTAAAAAAATCAATAATAACTTAAGTAATATTATTTATTTTCATAGGAATCAGTTTGCCCTTTACTTTTCAAATCAATAAATATGACGACTGTATAAAGAACGATAATTGCCATTTTTGGAGAAAACTGCGGCCATATACGGCTTTTATGAATGAAAACAATAAGCGAGCGTTTTCTTTCTCCATAAACAATCTTCCCTATTGGATGTGGATAAATCATCAACTTTTCTTTTTTCGTAAGCGATACAATAATTCTCTTAGCAAAATTAATCATGTCTATTATCCTAATTACTCAAGAAAAGAACATATGAATATATTCCAAGACAATGAATTACAATCTTTGAGAAGAACAAAACTCATACTCAACATACTGTGGTTTCATAGAATTTGTGATTGTAAATAGTTGTAAATTTATGCTTGCTTGTCTCAGTATTACAAACATATTTTATCATGTTGTACACAGTTGGTATAACGGTCTGAAAACCAAGTATTCAATTGTTTACAAGAAGGAAAATACATCCGTAGTAGTGTGCTTAGCAAACAACAAAAAAACTATATAAAACAAATCGTGTTCTTTTTTGACCTGAGCTAATTATTATGTACATCAAGCTGGAGTTCGTTTTTCATCGCTCTGAATAACTCAGATTCTGATTTTTCAGCAGGTAAATGGTTATATGATAGAAATCGAGAATAATGTTTTGATTTTCCACAACTGTCACAAGAACAACAGAAAAGGCATAAACTAAATAAAATCTGCCTTTTAAAAATGATTAATATCAGCGTTTCTAAGTTCATCCAGATGCATCGTAAATCGTTAAGATTTGATGTTGATATAATGAAGGTGTATAACAGGCTTATTTCTCTATTAAATCAAGGGTTAAACTAATGATAATAAACTATTGAAAATGAAATAGACAAAACACAAAAATTTTCTTCGAGATGTAGAAATGAAAAAGATAGCGTTTGGTGACAATTGATTATCGTTGAGGAAGATCTATCACATTTTAGAGATTTTATAAGTGGTGCATTTGATATGAGTATAATAAAGCTAATGAAGAGATGCGAGTTCTCATATTTTAGCTCCAAAGGAGTTGTGCTAACAAGCATTTGTCTTTTTTTATCTTTCAGTTTGTTTGAATACTGTCGCCCACGGTCAATGCATCTCACAAAAACAGAGATCACAATTCTGTTCACCTCTTTTGCTCGCTTCGAAGCACATGTTATGACTCAGTCAGCTGGTCGAAGATTATATGGCGCAGGAAAATTACTTAGAAGACTTTTATTCACCTCTTTTGCTTAGTTTCAAGTGGGAATTGCGTTACGATCAGCTGATCAAAAACCGCATGACAAAGGAACATTCATAACGATACTTCTATTCAATTGCTTTGCTCGTTTCAAAGTAAATGTTGCTACTCAATCAGTTGATCGAAGGTCACATGATAAAGGAACATTAATCATAAAATTTCTGTTCACTACTTTTGCTCACTTCGAGGTAAATATTGCAAGTCGGTCAGCTGATCAAAGATTACCTGACAGAGTAACATTCATCAAGAGGCTTTTGTTCATCTCTTTGCTCCTTTCAAAGCAAACATTGTGACTGGATGAACTGGTCGAAGATCATACAGCAAAGAAACATTTATAACCATATTTTTGTTCACCACTTTCGCCCAACTTGAAGCAAACATTGTTACGGAGCAAACTGATTGAAGACCACATGACAATGAAATGATCATAACCAGCTTTCTTTTCACCTCCGGAACTCACTTCAAAGCAAGCATTTGGACTTGATCAACTGATCAAAGATCAGATGAAAAAGGAACATTACTCATAAGACTTCTGTTTATCTCCTGTGTTTGCTTCGAAGCAAATGTTAAAACTCGGTCAGTTGATAGAATATCACACGTTAAAGAAACGTTCATAATGATACCTCCGTTCGTAGTTTTTGCACACTTCGAAGCACAGGTAACGTCACGAGCAACTGGTAGAACATTACGTGTCAAAAGAACATTCATAACCAAATTCCTGCTCTAGTCTTTTGTTTATTGCATAGCAAACATTATGAAATAATCAGATGATCGAAGATCACATGTTAAATAAATATTCCTAACCAAAGTTCTACCCAAGTCTTTTGTTCTCTTTGAAGCAAACGTTGCTATACAGTCCGCTGACCGAATATCATACGGCTAAGGAACATTCATAATTAGACTTCTGTTCATCTCTTTTACTGAATTCGAAACAAACTTTTTGGCACGATCGGCTGATCAAAGCGCACAAGGCAAAGAAAAATTACCCATAAGATACATGTTTACCTGTTTGCTCACTCGGAAACGAACATGATGACTCGGTCAGTTGATGTAGATCACGTGACAAAAGAACATTACTCAAAAGACATCTGTTCATCTGTTTTGCTCACTGCCGAGCAAATTTGACGATTTGGGCTATAGATTGAAGATTGTATGATAAAAAAACATTCACAACAACACATCTGGCTACCTCTTTTGCTCATTTCAAAACACACTTTGTGATATAATGAGCTGATCGAATAGCACATGTCAAATGAACATTCATCACCAAACTCTTGCTCAAGTCTTTTGTTCACTTCGAAGTGAAGGTTGTGACTCGGTCAGCTTATCAAATATCACATGGCAAAAGAACATTCAGCAATATACTTCTGTTTACCTTTTTTGCTCACTTCGAAGCAAATATCATGACTCGGTCAGCTGATCAAGCATAATATGGCAAAGGATTTTCAATAACACGTTGCAAGAATGTGATCACATACTTATCGATATCCTAAAGCTATCCTTGGATATGCATCACTAACTTGGCAATTGCATGGTAGTTGAATATTTTGAACCAGCCATGTATTTGTTAATTTTGTGAACCTACTTACAGTGTTTTTGAGTTCGTTACATGTTTTCTATGACGTAGCAAATAGATAATTATGATCATTGTTATGTTCGCCTATTTCACTCGAAAAGCTAAGAATTTAAACCATTAAATTGAGTTATCATCACATGTTAAATGGATCATCTGAACGACTTTTTTCATTTATTTTACTCATTTTGAATAAAATCCTATGTGTTGATCGGCACTGGTCAAATGTCACATAACAAAAGAATAAAAATAACGTTTTGTAAAATGTGTTGGTTCACTTATTTTATTTTCCTTGAAATTATTGATAGAAATTCAATTAACAGATTGAATATCCGATGAATAATGAATAAAAATAAAGAATATTAGATTCTATAATAATGATTCTTTGGAAACCTATCTTCACGATTCTTGAATAAGAAAAGCCTATAATATAAATGTACAATCGTATCCAAATCATTTTGTTCCTTTATATTTTCAGCTCATTTTCAAAGTTGAAGCAGTGTTTACTTTTTAATGAGTAAATCGTACACGAATGCCTCACAACATGGCTGTGTTCATTTCTTTCAAACACATCAATCGATAACATTCAAGTTGGTGAGCTAATGAAAGTTCAAACTGTAGCAGAACAATTCAAATTAGGATTTCATTCATCTATTTTCGATATTCAAATGCAAGAAGATGAGTTATGAATTTCATTGAAGATTACATCCCAAATAAATTGTTGTCATCAATCAAATGTTCATCTAACGTTCTCATTTTGGAAAACAAGGTTATCAGCTAACAATGAGCATTGAATACTATATAACTCATGAATAATCATGACGAGGATTTCATTCGTTTATGTCAGGAAATTTTGTAAAAAAGTACACGGTTCACATAAATGGTCACAGATCTTATAGTAAACGAACCCTTGTCTACCAACGATTTTATTCATTTATTTTCATTCACATCCAAATAAATGCTGAAAATCAATGAACTGATCAATAAGTACAAGATTAATGAATTCTTTTTACGCGATGTTAGTACATTTATTTCTTGGATAGTGAAATCAAACAAGTGAGTTATTATGCTCTAGAAGAGATGTTGTGATAAATTAATAAACGATTCTTGATCCGCATCAGTCCAATGATGCTGTTCCATGATATGATATAAATTGTAGTACAGCTTTAGAATAAATTCACATTGGGAAGATGATACAATGAGTGATTGATTATAATTCTCCCAATGGTATTACTCATCTATCCTACTTATTTTGCGCCTAATAGTGTATTTCATTAAGTTGTTCAGTGATTACATGAAACTGAAATTATTCTTATTTTGGACATACTTTTCAGCTATGTTATTTATATGGATGCATAGTTTTTGAGTTGTGTCGATGATCAACAATCACATAAAAAACGAATCATCAGTAGCCAATAGTTTTGTTCATCAGTTTCAGTCATTTTCAAATGAAATGTTGCTTGCTACTCAAGAACGAAGAACGCATATCAAATCTATGATCATTTTCCAAGTATCCTTAATATTTAGTTCATCTATTTTACGAACATGAAACCAATGATTTGAAAATAGTCATCATTTTGAGATTCATCGATCAAAATGAATAATCATTACCGCCTTTAGGTTTTGTTGATTTATTTTGTCTACAATAACATACATGTTTTAATCGGACAACTCATTAATATTTTCACATGACATATGTACCATTTTGAATATTCCAATTATCATGTTCATCTATATCAACTATTTCAAAGTAAAATTAATAAACTTCTAAGCATAAAGAAGATAGCATATTAGATAAATCAATTGTATCAGAATTCTGTTCGCTTATTTTTTTTGACTTCAGAACAACACTATAAATGTCGTTTGTTGATTCAAGACAAAATGAAAAATGAATAATCCTAACGACACTTCTGGCATTTGGTACAAACATTCTATTGAAAAATGTTTTTTTCCTGGGAAGCAAATCGTTGAAGTCAAGTTAATAATTGAAGTGTGCATGGCAGACGAATAGTTCTTAGTACGATGGCGTTCGTTTATCACTTTTTGTTATTGATGAAACTAGGACGTTCTTTAGTAGATCATGGTTGACAGAGAAAACAAACTAGTAGGATGACCTTTAACATTCAGTTTCATTATTTTTCTCCGAACCAATACAAGTTTTTCTTACGATTAACTCTGAACCATTCATGGAATATATGAATGCATATGACAAAAATTGTATTGATCTACTCTGTTCTATGGTGAGTAAACGGTTCAAGATGTTCTGGTAGTCCATGACCACTGAATAAATAAATGATTTCGATTGAGTTCCTTGGAAGCTCCAGGCACATCAAATATTCGAGGACCTAAACGAAAAACGCTAGCCAGTTACACAATCATATAGAGCACAGATGGTGAATTCAGAAAAGTTCTGTTAAGAGGAGCATGGCTAACACGAAATAAGTCGACTAATGAAGAGTTCATTGCTCCACTAGAAGTTATGCGCACATCGTATCGAGATATTATTAAAACTATATTACCTCAGCAGTGAACTTAAGGACTAGTCAATGAAGATATTGTGCCCATTGGTAAAGAAATGCCTTATCTGACATAAAGGTGTGGGTATGGATTTGAATTTAAGTTTCGTCATGGTCATTCACTGATACCAATACCCACATCCACACCCTCCACAAAAATCCATAGGCTAAGTCTAAAGTCAACATTCTACAGTGTGTATTTCTTTACTCTTAGTCTCATTGAAACTCATGAATTCGCAATAATCGATCTGCTCAATCTTGCGGAAAACTGTTTATTACAAATCATAGAGGATCAGGAAACTTGCAGAAGAGCTCTTTCCTCTCTACTTTTAGAGATTGTCAGTGAGATGAGAATAGAACCATACTCACCTAGTCGCTTTCGAATGACAGTTGGTTTTGAACTGGTTCCTAATTCTTCAGCCGGTAACGTTGTATTTTTCTGATATGGTACCAAATAAATGTGCTGTTGTAGCAAAGCAGATGTAACATACGGCATTTGTTTTCCTCTTGTATCATTGACCACTCCATTGGTCACGTCTCTAAGCAGCATCGTGATATCTTCTCCTGGTCGAGTAATGTGCTGTAGTAAATGATAAGTAAACATTCCATTACGTCCGTTGGGTCCGTTATCAGCGGCTGTTGTACCAGGAAGACAAGCAAAAGTAATCAACATACCAGCCTTTGCAGACATCGTCGCCATTCCTGTTGATAATGTACTCATTCCTTGAGATTCGGGCAAACTCGGCAGACAATAAGTGCGGCAGCAATCAAGCAGATATAGAATTACAAAAGGCTTCTTATCGTACATTAGTTCCAGGGCATTTTGCGCATTGGTTGCATGAGATTTCAAATGGTCTAGAGTTCGAATTTGACCATCATCACATGGAATCAAATAGTTCTTATTGTCGTGTTGAACACCGTGACCTGAGAAAAAGAATACAACGATATCATCTGGTTGAATAGATCTCGCAAAGTCTTCGACTTCTTGTTCCATTTCCTTGTAATTTAAATTTGTTTTGGTAGTCACTAAGAATTGAATTGTTTTCAGTGCTTTGCCCAAGTCATTTGCATCATTAACACAGTTATCTAGGGACAATTGATTGTACTTATCGTTTCCAATAATTAAAGCAATTTTTCGTCGTTCAATAATATTCAAAGCTGTGGTACACATATTACTTCTCTTAAGTTTGCTTTATCTACAATCGCAAAACAAACAAACTAATCATTATTCAAATTGTTTAGATTTCTTACTGTTCTAACAAAACAAAAAGAATGCGTGACTATATTGAATGAGTCGAATGAACAACAAAACTCGGTTCTTACTCGATTTTTCAGGTTATTATTATAAACGGTTTATTCGAAGTCCATAATTGTCAGTTACTATTTGAACTCACACTCCTCCACAGTAGTTTCGAAGACTGGATAGAAGCTTTAGTATTTGAAAATTTACATAAAAATGTCGTCATTCCAATCTATCAAAGGTTTCCATGCTACTCTCTAATAAAAAAAGTCAAACTGAATGTTTTATTATTCTAGACTTCGGTATCATTTTCTGCAATTTGTTAAGCTCCATGCCTTTGCACTGAAACCTTCTTTAAGTTCTATATTTTTTTGGCAAAAACTTTAAGAAAAAAAGATTGAAAACCTGGTACTGAAATTTAGAACTATAAAAGATTCAACAAGGCAACTTTTTTTTGGAGAAAGTCCACCGCATAATTAACGTTATAAGTACACATCTACAGTGATCAGGCTGTAATCATATGTCCAAATTTTGAATGACTCTCTAGAATTCTACTCTATTTTGTATAAAAGCAGTATGCTTTTTGTTGGAGATACAATTTTTTCTTACCGTTGAAAAACATTCAAAAGACTCAAAAAAATTGTGTACACTTCATTTGTATACGTTCTTGCATAGAATGGGTGACGAACACATTATTTATTGCTCGAGGTAGCATTCAGAAGCATCTTTGTTTGCACATTTCTTCGCCATTCTGAAAAAAAAAGAGAAATAATGTTGCATTTACGGCAGCATACTGCTGTTTTAGAGTAGTGGTAGCAAAAGAAGCAAGGTTTTATTTGTGCAACATCAAGATGTTGACATAGGCGAAAGCGTTTCTGTGGTAATGAAGTAACGTTATAGTATAACAGAAACAGAATAAGCTTTGTTCTGGGAGTGGGTATAGGTATACTTAACTATATGTAGGTTTTTTCAAAAAATAAAAATACTAATTTACTAGAAAGATATTTTTTTGGAGATAAGTATCTTGTTCCTTTTTTTCTCACTGCAACTAGGTCGAACTATTTTTATTAAAGCACATGTAAGCACTTTTCAACAAATCGATTTTCATCTAGTTTTCTTTTGTAAGCAGTGTATTGAATCAATATCAACAAATAAAGCATTATAGACTACAATTCTTAAAAAAACGTCATTAACATCATCATGTGTTGGCATTTCCATCGATGATTTCTATTGTGGAGCTACAACTGATGTATTAAAACCAACAAATTTGACGTTAGAAGGGTGAAGGTGTGAGTGTGGCAGAAGAGAAGATATTGATCCACATACCGACACTCACATCCATTCACGTTCCATTTTCGTATGCACTCACACTGAATTTAGAAGTCTTATTGTGGTAACATAATTCTGAAAACAAAAGTGTAATCTAAAAGGAATAAAGTATATTCTACTCAATGTCCAATTGCTGTTGGTCAAAACCAGAAGTTTGCTATTGTAGTCAAGAATCTGTGGAGATGTGGACCAGACGATATGGTATTGTAATGAGTGGGTTGGTGATTCCCAGAGAGTTATATTAGCCAAAAATCAAGATCGATCAAAGATTCGATCGGCTAGTAAAGAAAAGAAAGATACTGTGTATTTAAACTTCGGTCAATCGTATCTTTGATCACCTGATAATAATGTTGCATATCAATTAATTCTACCTGAGTTCCACTATTTTCTTGCCTCCATACTTCTTTTTTAGATTTGTATTCGAAAATACAGTGCGACATTTATGGTAACTAATTCTTAAAACTATTCATTCATGCAGGAAGAAATGGTACAGAGTTCTTAAATAGCATAAAGTATGATGAATTGAATCGGTAGAGAAGAATGGAGAAAAAAAACCAAAGGTACATAAATAAAAGGCAGTCGACATGTTTAATGAGCATTCATTCAACCAGGCTATGAATTTCATGTCTTCTCATAATACAAATCACTTCATTTGACAAGTAAAGGCCGAAAAATACATTTCTCGTCTGCAACAGTATGTATCTGTGACGTTGTCTTTTCGATCCGTCTTTATCTATTGTCCGCATGAGTCTACTTTTTTTTTGAAAACCATTTATTGGTGACATATTATCGTTTTCAAGTCGTTGTCGTCTTTGCAGGAACATCTATGTATGCAACAGAGGTGCTATAATTGAATAGACTAGCATCGAGAAAAAAAAGGTTTTCGCGACATCCTAATCCAAACATATTTCTGCATGTAGTTTTTCTGCTTTCATTGGTCAGTTATGACTAAACGATTCGTCTTTCACCATGTTGGAAAGTCATTTTTGAAGTTCAGCCGTATGTAACAAATTTCTATAATTCGGTAGAAAAAAGACTATCGTACATGTTACATATGATTCACAACTACGTGCAGGTGTCATTCATACTTCTAGCAATACTTCAGAGGTAGACCATTAGGATGCTCTTAACGGACAAGAAATATGTAGTTCTCTCCTTTCACTGAATCTGTAAATTTACTAGTAACAATTGGCTTGTATATGGAATATGAGAGCTATGACAAAGAACATAACAAATAAGATCAGAACTGCCAAATCCAAATTCCAAAAATCCGAAAATGTCTGCACAAAAACCAGGAGAAAAATGAAGAGATTTTTTGAAATCAGTCAACTATTTATCTGGCTTATTTCAAAGCAAACTGCAAACTGCATTCACATACAGTGCTGACCATAAGTCCCGACCCCCCTTGAACTGCAGTCTTTATAGGAGCTAGACAGTTGAAATTTTGTTTTTATATACTCTATGACGACCGCTGATCGTCAGCACCACTCACGTCAAAATTGCTCGAGTCAGAACGTAGTTGTACTAGGTAGTAGTCATGCTCCTTGTGAAATTCATAATTCGAGAAAGAAAAGATCTGTTGAGGCGATCAACATCTCATTGTGTAGTGCTCTACTCTACCTATCTACAGTATAAATTTCATTGAAGTTCCTCGAGCCGTTGATGAATTATGACCATTTTACTGTAACCATCGATATACAAGGAAACCATGTGATATCATTGTGAGACCCATAATTCAGTAAAAGCTTAATAGATCTATCTGAAATTTTGCAGAGATGTTTCTTCACAATTGTTCATTATTTCTTGAAAGTTTCAGAAGCAAATATTATACTGGAAGAAAATGGCACACTGATAACCATTGGGTTATTGTCAAGGCTTCAGGAAGCCTATTTCTCAAGCAAATTTATTTATTTTTCTACTAATGAAAGATTATATCTTGAGCTTCATTTTCATACTAAAATATTGATAACTACACTTGTCTTTGATAAATTGAAGCAAAAAGTTTCATAGATACCATTTTTTTCTTCTTTTCAGCAAAAATAGGAAAATGATATCATATGACAACATATCACTAGTAAAATATTTTTGAACACCTAAGAACTCTTCAGAAATATTATAAACCAAAATTTTGGAGCTATTTATGAAGTTTCAAACGACTATTTTATAATAAATCGTGTGCTGCACACATCAAACACTCATCTCCCTTTAAAATGCATATTTTACTGATTATTTGCAATAACATATGACACAATCAATGTCCACATAATAGACTACCAGTATGAAAGTTCAATATTGCTCTTATTTATAATATTTGAATGTCTATTCGTAAATTCATTTTACTAGACTATCATAACAGAAACAATGAAGAACTAGAATGATTGCTTTAGGTACAATATCAATGATGAAACAATTGAATCGAATAAATGAAGTTTATTTGAAATATATAAAGATTATTGAGAATACTAAAGAATAGAATAATTTTCGTTCATGAATAAATATCAGTGTATGCAATAGTATAATGCTTGTTCATATTTATTAGCCATTTCGCTGTTTTAACCAAGGACCTGTTGCTTGTTTATGACGTTGAATATCGGCTTCAGTTACACAACATAATTTATCTTTACCACAAATTTCTGTTTGTTTAGAACATTTTAAAGGTGTTTTACAGCATGTATTACTAAGTGCACCACCACATCGACCTTTGTACACACTACATTGACCTTTACCGTCGTCCTTCGGTTTGCCTTTTCCAAAAACTCTATTATGAAATACATTGGATGATAAACATTGAAAGATTTTTTACAACTTACGCATTTGTTTGTGAAACAAACAAACAACTGATGAGAACAAGTAAAATAAGAATTGTTAAATACTTCATGTTGAAAATAATCTAAAATATAGCAATAAAAAATAGTTTTGTCTTGTACCACTGCATCTCGATCATACGTGTTTATATGTATATGTGCTTTTTCTTATTATCATCGAAACGAGTTAAGTCATGTGAGATTATCTATATACGTAAATGATACTGAGAAACGAAAAGGGTCCACCCACAACTGTCACCAACGGTAATATAAATTATCTTGTTGTTTTCGTCACTAACTTCTATTGATAACAAACTATGAATAAGTCTTGTTAACTGATATCTACCA